TTAGAAAAAAAAAAAAAAAAAAATTTCACCTTCGGGAGGCCCCCCCCCCCCCTCCCCCCACCATTAAAGCAGTGAAGGTGAGATAGAATTAAAACAGAATCTCTGAGTGAGGATGTAGTTCAGTTTTATTGTCTCTTTTCTGGTGCATACCAATCAACACAATAAACATATGAGAAGAAATACTATCTCAACATGGCATCTTCAGACAAAAACTGTGATCTTCAATTAACTTCATGCCGAAATGTTGAGAGGAAAAAACCGGACAAGCTCGGCCAGTATGAGAAGAGAGGGTCAAAGAACTTACTTGATTTAAAGAGCTAGTTTTCTTCCTCCTGATAAAACTAAGTCCATCTCTATATTTCTAATTTTCTTTCAATTTATTCAACAGTTACAGGAATAAACTTAGAAAATATAGAGCTTATTAATGGCAATATGGTTAGCAGGAAATGATTCAAATGAAAAGCCAGCAAACCTTCTCTCCTCTCATGCAGTGGTGTGGAGGACATGTTGACTTTGCCAGTAGGGGGACGTGACTCCAGACCGTAGATGGTAGGGGACATGCCTGCCTCTTGAAGCACTCGATGCAGGTCCTCCATTTCTTTGCTGGTGTTGGTGCCCATCTGGGCTGATGGATAAGGATGTAATTGTCTTAAGAGTGTTATAGTTACCGGTACATGACTTGAGGTCAAAAGTTGCTGCATTAACCAGAAAATATGCACTGGATAAAGCAGTAAAAAAAAAAAATGGGCATGGATTTACGGATTGATTGAAAAATTTGATAACCAGCCAGTTTTAATCTTAGAATCCTGTATGCAGCTTAGGTGCATTTATTAATTTAAAAATTTATTTACCGGTATATAAACAAATTCTTCAGAAGCAAGTACCTGAGAACCCTGGATTTTTTAATGTGTCTGGCAGTGTTAAACCTAAGTTATCATGGGTGGTATCCCTTGAGTTTGCTATCTGTGGTGATGTGGTGGTGTTAAAAGTTGACTCCAAGGAATCCATTAGGGCAACTGGAGAAATAAATACAATGGGTTAATGACTTCCTCTCTATCTACACAAAAACACATGCAATTAGAAATAGAAAATTATGTAGAACGTGAGCGCTATTTACCTCGTGATAACATGCTGGGCTTTTGTTGTGATGAGTCCTGCAAAAATAAAGTTGAGAATTAATGCCAAAATTTTTACAGATAGAATGATATACTTTTTCTTACAAAAAAGTGGTTTTGTTAAATTTATTAATGATCTTTTAAACAATATTTACATCAGAATTATGTCCAAAAACAAAATTAAAAGCTCTTCCATCTAATCAAACTCCAAATCTCGTATTATTTTATAATTACCAAGCTTTCCAAATTGTTGGCTCTTGCTGGCGTGGTTGGATCTATAGACATCCCTGACGCATCTGCTTGACTTTGCCCCAGTCTCACAGCTGGTGACATCAGGGATGTTCCCCCTGTCTGACTGAGTTCCTGATTCAATCGACTGTAGTCTACAGTGCCATCAACTTCCTTTTCAAGATTCTAAATTTGGGGACAAAATTTATACAACAATTTTTAGTTCAGTAAGAAATGCTATTTTTTTTTTTTTTTAAATGTCTATTAGAAAAAGAGCCAAAATTATTTCGACATTGTAACTTGAATTACTTTATGAATTCAAAAGCAAGGTAATTTCGTAAAGTAGGCAATTATTCTCATTTACGGTACTGACATCTTTGCGTCATTTAATTCAAGTAAAAGTGTTTAAATGTAGTTAAGTCTTATAGTCAAACCCTCATCTAACTAGTTAATTTAGTCAGACCCTTATGTAACTAGTTAATTTAGTCAAAAACTTATGTAACTAGTTAATTTAGTCAAACCCTCATGTAGCTAGTTAATGTGGTCAAACCCTTGTGTAACTAGTTAATTTAAATGAATTAGTTTCTTACTTGGAAAAAATGCTGCTTATCTGCCAGTTCATCAAGAGTATCACACCCTGGGTTACCATGGCTCATGTTAGATGGAGCACCTTCAAAATCATTACTTCCTAGAATAAAAATTAAAGCAATCATTGTAAATACCAAGGGCAGTTAACTATATATGCATTATCACAAGATATGAAAAAACTCTTATATCACTTATTTTAATTATTTTATTTTATTAACATAATTGATTGAAATTTTTTTTTGTTTTATGTTAGGTTAATGTTTACCTGCCCCTGTTGTTTCAATGCTTGAGTCGTTTATTGGAATCTTCAGTTGAGGTCTGTTAGGAAAAAAAAAAAGAAAAGATTGATTTGCAGCATTCCCCAAATGGTGGTCCCTGGACTGGCACGGGACCAGAAGCCTTACATTGCTGGTCAGCGTACCTTAATATTTATCGTCGAATATATATAAAGAAAATATAACTAATAATTCTACCAACGGTCCGTGGTGCAATTTCCAAAATTTTACACCAGTCCTTAAAAGTTTGGGAGCCGATGATGTACTAGAGAATATTATTAGCTTACTAATTAATGTGTCTATCATTTGAGTTCATCATTGGAGCATACAGATATACCTTCCTCTTTGGATTAGTTAGGGACCAGTTCAATGATGAGAGTAATTTTAAAAAGAAATACAAATGAAAATTTCATAATCCAATGATATGGAATGTATTAAACACTGAAATGGCATGCAGCTATTTAGAATTGGTGGTACAGATATTCATTGAATCCATTTTTTAAAAAAAAAAGGATTTTTTAATTCTTAGCATAAACCTTAAATTTTCTTTCCCCTTTACAATACTGCCCAGATGCTGAAATAAAGTGCACAGGTTGGTGACCAGCTGCTGTAAGTGGTAATTTAATGTGAGGAACATGTTCTCTAAAAGTAAGTTACTTGACAGCTCACTTATCACTTATTTAAAATGTTTTTAAGAACTTACTTGGCTCTAGCTTTAGCTAAATAGTCATGTTCTTCAGATCTTTCTGAAACTAATAAATCAGATGAATTTTAATTTTTAAAAACGTATTTTAAAGCTAGAATTTTTTTTTTTTAAATTGCACTCTTAAGCAGTTTTGTTGGTAATGGTGTAAAGTTGAATGAGTAAAAAAATAAATTTTAAATTTGTAACTTTTTGTGCTTTAAGTCTTAAAATACTAGGTGCATAAAAATAAAATGACCAGCCATATCATTACAATTAAATTTGAAGGTAATTTAAATTTTTTTTTTGCATGCAAAGTTTTAATTTCAATAAAATGAAAAAAATCATTGAGCCAGTAATAAAAACACTTACTGTCTTCTAGACTGTCTTTACTCATTGATACTTCATTTTTAGACTTTCTTGTTTTGGACGAACTGGTCTATTTTCGGTAATAAAATAAACAATTAATATTGACATTTTTATAAACTTAACTAAATTATATAGTGTTGATTGTATTTGAAACACTAAATAATAATTATTATAGTTTTTAAATTTTAAAAGTTTGATGGTATTTAGTATGTAAGGCTATTATTTATCTAAATAAAACATAACTGAACATAAATATTGTTATTATTTTCATTTCATAAGCTTTAAATATAAATCAGATTTCTCATCATAAGTCAATTTTATGCAAAGAGAAAATATTACCAAATTTTTAGATTTAACAGGATCCCTCTGGGTCTGTTTTTTAGTTGATGAAACTTTTAATGAATTTGATGCCTTCGATGAAATGCTCTTTGCTTTGAGGTAATTATTTTTTACTCCAGCTTTAGCTTTTGAAGGTGATTCTAAAGACTTTTTGGTCTTAAGAAAACTTTTGCTTTTTCCTGAGGAGAAATGAATTTTTACATTAAATTGAATAATAATAATAATAATGTATATTCAGTCTGTATTTTCTTTTTTAAGCTAGAAATATTCCAAGATCCATGAAAGAAGTTGCAAGTATTTTTTTACTGATATGAAATAGCCAGAATTAATACAGGTGTATAAATTTTGAACATTTAAGTAGTAGTATTTTTCCTAGATTATCAATGAACTAATTTTACACAATCTCATTATGAAGAAAACATTAGCAGCAAATGAGAAAGCGTTGTTCAAGGTGAAACCCTATTAAAAAATCTTTCGCATCATTTATCAAACTCAGAAATGTCAAAGCAATGTTACAGTATCAAGGATGACTTGCAAAATGTATTTACCCTTTTCATCACTGTCATCATCTGAATCATTAGCCCACCACAGTGCATTATTTTCATGTTTCTTTACTGGGGCCTTCAACAACTTCTTTATCTCTTCAGTATCATCTCCACTAGAAACAGACTATGTAAGGAAAAAATAAAATATCACCTTGGAAATCACACTTTATTATTAAAATTTGTTATGTTAAAAAAAGTATGGCTCACAAAAAGATTAAATAAAAAACATAAAAATTCAGATTTTGACAGTTTAAAATTTAACTGCAAGAATGTGGTAACCATTTGTGTGCCATTACTAAACTTTTATCTTAATCTTCTTTTCATTTAATACTTGCAAAGTAAAGAGAGCAACAACTAAACATGTATCTATTTCCCCACTTCTTACAATTTTAAGGAATTCCTCAAAGTTGCTATCCAGTTCATCTTTAGACCATCGTTTTGAGTGTGTCATTATGGAAGTTGAATTGCAACAACAAGCATAAGAAACTATGCCATATAGATTTGGTGCACTAAAAAGATAACATTAGTTTAGTATCAAGTGTTGCATGTTATGGCAAAATCGCTCCCAAAAATTAACATTTAGAGATAAAACAATATGATTCTCACTAATGGGTAATTTAAATGATTTATATCTAAAAACTGCTCTGATATAAACTAGCTACTAATTATTAGCAGTATGTCACTTTGAGATATTTAAATTTTAATGCAGCAGTTATTGTCTAGAGCAGCGGTTCTCAACCTGTGGGTCGCGACCCCTTTGGGGGTCGCATGACCCTTTCATGGGGGTCGCCTAAGACCATCTGAAAACACAAATACCCAGCAGTTATAAAGTATCAACGAAAATAATTTTGTGGATGTGGGTCGCCACAACATGAGGAACTGTATTAAAGGGTCGCGGCTCTAGAAAGGTTGAGAACCACTGGTCTAGAGCATATGTGTCAAATTCAAGGCCCACGGGCCACATCGGGCCTGGCGTACAATTATATCTGGCCCGAGAGAGAATATAAGCAAAAATATTTTTAATGGCCCTCCAATGTGAAGTGTAAATGAAATTCCCTGATTGGCAGCCTTGTCAAACAATAGGCTACTTGAGAGAGTAGCTCGTTAGTCATAGACTAGGAAACTGCACCTTTTAAATTTGCAGCTGCAGTGTAATTGGGCACTAAAAGCAAAGTGTGGCCTGCACAGTTCACTCATTTCATTCCTGAAGAGATGCCACATCATCATCATCAATGGCACTACAGCCCATGTAGGACCCTGGCCTGCTCCACCACATCCTTCCATTCGGAGCGATCCATGGCTTTCCGTCTCCATGCTCGAACCCCCAACTGGTGTAAATCTGTCTCCACATCATCAATCCACCTCATCCTTGGGCGACCGATGAGTCGTCTGCCCCTAGGCTTCTGCCTGTATATGATTTTGGCTGCTCTGCATTCCGGCATCCTTTCAACATGACCTGCCCAGCGTATTCTGCCTTTTTTTATCATTGTGACTATGGGTGGTTCTTTGTACAAATCGTAAAGTTCTTGGTTTGTACATATTCTCCAGGTATCATTTTCTAACACTGGTCCGTATATTTTGCGCAGGATTTTCCTCTCCCATGTGTTGAGCAGGTTCTCTGCTTTTCTGGTGAGGGTCCAGGTCTCACTAGCGTACGTTACTACAGGTCTTATGATGGTGGTGTATATTGTCTTCTTTGTTCCCCTTGATAAGTTTTTGTTTCTCAGTAGCTTTTGTAGACTGAAATAGGAACGGTTGCCTGCTGTTATCCTTTCTTTCACCTCTGTCATTATCTCATTGTGCTCATTTATAGTTGCCCCTAGATATTTGAATGTGTCCACTCTCTCAAATTTGTGGTTGTTTATATTGATGTTATCATCAGCATGGGAGTTTCTTGACATTATCATATATTTTGTCTTCGGTTCATTTATATCAAGGCCAGCTTTGAATGAGGCATTTTCAAGTTCCCTGAATGCTTTAATTATGTCATTACGGTTTTTACCCAGTAGTGCTATATCATCTGCATATGCCAGGTACTGCAATGGTTGGCTATATAAGGTTCCTGATGGTCGTTGCTCTGTAGTATCTCTCTGGAAATAGTTTGTTATGGTTCCACTGGTGCTAATGTGAATGCTTCTAATAACTTTTTCTAGCGTGATGTTAAACAGGATACATGATAGTGAGTCTCCTTGTCTGAGGCCCCGATTAACTATGAACTCCCTAGAATATTCTCCCTGAATCTTGATTCTGCTTTTGGAGTTGGCCATTGTCATGTGTATGAGCCGAGTAAGCTTGTTAGGGACTCCAAGTTCTTGTAAAGCATTGTATAAGTAATTCCTGTTTACACTATCGTATGCTGTTTTGTAATCCACATATAGTTGGTGTATGTCGATGTTATATTCGTAGCATTTCTCCAGGAGACATCTTATAGTAAAAATATGATCCGTGGTTGACCTATTCTGCCTGAATCCACATTGATAGTCCCCTAGGATCTGTTCACTGTACTTTTCCAATTTTCTCGCTATAAGTTTTGTGAGGATTTTGTACATTACATTAAGAAGGGAGATACCTCTATAGTTTGAGCATATCAACTTAGATCCCTTTTTGTGGATTGGGATTATGAGTGCCGTGTCCCATTCAGTTGGCATTTCTTCCTCCTGCCAGATTCTGGTTATAAGTTCGTGTATTTGCCTATGCAGTTCGCTACCACCTAGCTTTATGAGTTCTGCAGGGATAAGGTCTATTCCTGGGGCTTTGTTATTTTTCATAGTGGAGATTACATCTTTTATTTCATTTAAAGTTGGTTGGTTGACCAGTGGGTCTGGTCCTGCTTGTGGCGGGGCGTAATCCTCATTGGTTCCTCCACCTGAGCCATTCAGTAGGTCTTCAAAGTGTTGTGCCCATCTCTCTAGTACTCTACTGCTCTCTGTGATCAATTTTCCATCCGTGCTTTCACACATGTGGGATCTTGCTTGAAAGCCATTCTTTTCCTACTTTATCTTCAGGTACATTCCCCTCACATCTCTTTCTTGTGCCAACTCTTCTATCTCTACTATTTTTTTATTTTTCCCAAACACGTTTTTTCTTTCTGCAAATTTTGCTGGCCACCCTTCTTGCTTCATTATATAATTGTCATGTTCTTCTTGTTTCCCTTTGCAGCATCATTAGCCGAGCTTTATTTCTTTGTTCTATAAGTTCTTTGCATTCTGCGTCATACCATCCTGTTCTTTTCACTGCTGGTTTAAATCCAATCGTTTCCTCTGTTACACTTGTGACTATTTGCTTCATCTTTTCCCATTGCTGGTTTATATCAACGTTGCTGGCTGATTCTCGTTTGGATAATTCTAGTTGAGTTTCAATCTTCTGTTGATATTCCTCAGTAATTTTTGGGTCCCTATTCAGTTTCTGACTATTGTACTGTTTTTCTCTTTTATTTTGTTTATTGTGTATGTTACACATTCTTTGCTTATATTTGATTCTAACAAGCATGTGGTCTGAGTCTATGTCCACCCCTCTACAACTTTTCACATCTGATATGTCCGAGCCATGCCTCCGGTCGATGAGTACGTGGTCTATTTGATTATGGGTAAATCCATCTGGAGATATCCATGTCGCTTTATGTATTTGTTTATGTTGGAATACTGTGCTACTGATTATCATTCCTTTTCCAGAGGCGAAGTCTATAAGACGTGTCCCGTTGTCATTGCTCACATCATGCACACTTTCCTTTCCGATTGTTGGTCTGTAGACTAGTTCTTTCCCAATTTTTGCATTGAAATCGCCAAGGACTATTTTGATATCATGTCGTGGAGCCTCATCAAATACTCTTTCCAGTGTTTCGTAGAAAGTTTCCTTCATGGTTTCATCTGCATCTTCCGTTGGAGCATGAGCGCAGATTAATGTGATGTTAAATACTTTTCCTCTAATCCGTATGGAGCATAATCTTTCACTCACTGGTTTAAACCCAATGACTGCGTTTACTGTCTCTCTTTTGACTGCAAACCCTGTTCCTAATGTATTTGTGTTGTTTCCACTGTAAAATATTGTATATTCCTTTGTATTTAGGATATCTGAGTCTTTCCATCTAATCTCCTGTAGTGCCGCAATCACTATTCTATATCTAAGTAATTCCTCACTGAGGCGGGCCAAGGCACCTGCTCAAGTATAAACTGAGTACATTCCAAGTCGCTATCCAAATGTTATGAGTGTGGTCAGGCATGGGTTGAAATCCATAAATATCAGTCCGTTTTTCTGATTGTGGTTTTACTTTCGTAACATTAGCTTTTTTACGTGACAGGGTCGTCAGCCCTGCGCACAACCGTCTGGGGGGATGCCCCTTGCAGCTCTCAGGGTAGCTGCCTTTGATTTGGGTCGGGTCCCAAGCCTTCCTACAAGGCACTTCCTACAAGGCAGCAGGTACTGATTTTGGTCCGCCCCAGGTATTTTATTTCCCCGGCACCCTCCATATCTGGTGGGCTTTCCCCCATCCGCCACCTGGGGAGGCGCTCGATGGAAGATCAGTATCTCCTCACGAGGAAGAGATGCCAAAGCTTCGTCTAAATTTAGCTTGAACCTTTAGCATGTTTGGTAGCACATAACTGTGATGAAGATTAACAAAACATAACACAGGAGTGGTCTCACTCATGAACACTTGCACTCCATCATGAGAATCTCAATGACACAGAACATTACTCCCAACTTAAACGAACTTAAGACAAGAAAAAATGTAAAACATCCAGCTCAGACACATTGGCATAGAGCGAAAATGAGTATGCCAATGAATTTTTATTATTAAAACTTTTCTCTGTTTTCATTTATATTTTATTAATGTTTAATAAAGGTTTAATTTTATCCTGTTCGGCCCTCAACTTAACGTGTGATTTGAGTTTTGACCCGCTGAGCGATTGAGTTTGACACCCCTGGTCTAGAGGAATAGTCCATTGCTATGATTTAGTACTTTATTTCCTATTTACAGCATCAATAAAAGAGTAACAGTTTAAAAAGCTTTTCAATGGACAACATGATTTTTTAACAACTGACGCTGAAGTGGTATATTACCCTTTGTCTGCTTGTCATGGCAACAATTTTCTGCATCGACCCAAAAAAGTAGTGCACAAACACTCACACTGTAATTTAATTTAAAGAGTGGGAGTCGGATAGTTTAAATTTACCATTTTTTAAGATAAGATAATGCATGCTTCTTTGTACCATCATACTATTGTTACTATCAATTACAAATATGAAGGTTGTGCGGGTTAACACTGATCAATGAAGTGACCTGAAGTGGAATGTCAGTGACAGTGAATTGAGTGAATCACTAAAACTAAAACTCAAGACAGTCAAGACTAAGGCCAAGGCCAAGGCTAAGACTAGTAAGAGTAAAGATGGATATATCTTAAGGATGCGCGGGGGGATAAACGCTTGCCGACAGCAAATCTTGTTTTCTAAATTGAGCAAAAAAATTAATCCTCATAATTCATTGTTGCATTTTCTAAATACCTTTAAACTG